AGCAGGAAAAAACCCACATACGATATTTCTCACTAATGCTTTAATGCCTTTGTCTTAACAATGCATTTTGTTGACAAGTTTCTGCAGCAATGTTAGTATTTTTAATTCATAGTACATATGCTCTGTATTCAAAAATAGAAAATTTTCAAATCATATTATATCCTTTGGACAGTTGAAGAAACATGATTTTGATAGTATTCAGAAAAAAGCTGAGACACTGTATGAATTCTATGGTAATTACCCATCATAATTAAAGAATAAACACTTCCAGGACATGCAGTCCTTTAGGCTGATAAAATGTCTTCGTTAGTTGCTACCCTGTGAATTTAATTGACTCCACAGTTTATGTCTTCAGCCGGAGGGAGTGAAGTCATAAAACAGTCACTGACTCCAGAATTCACAATAGGTTTGACAGCTCATACAACTTCAGCATGCCATGTGAAGCTGGTGGATTGTCTCTCTCTCTTTCAGCTCAAAGACTGATAATGACTGGGAGCTTTGTTAAGACCAAACTGATACCATGTCATAACATCTATTATCACATCTATTATTTGTGCCCATCCAATGTGACTACCACAGCATTACAGTCTCAGGACAGCTGTACAAATAAAGAGGATGAAGGTAGTCATGCTCATGTGGAAATGACAAATTAGCTCAGTTAAAATGAACAGAATATTATGCCTGCTCTGCCATCTGATGCCAATAAATTCCTTTAGGATTTCAATGCCTTGTTAATTGTCTAGGTCAGGAAGTACCCATGCCAAGACTACGGTCTGTTATTTTAGCATATCCTGGGCTTGACCTGCAGTAAGAAACTGACTTTTGACAAAACAAGACTATATTTTTTTTAGTTAAGTATACTTCCTAAGACTAAGACGGCTAATACTTCAGAATCATGCAGCAAAGCATTTAATACTGCTTGGAAAAGGCAATGGCCAAGGTTACTTGGAATTACTTTTTTTGTTTGCCTGAGACACTGAAGAGCACCTGATTTTTAGAGTGCCCTGAGCACTTAAGTATCTGAAAGCACAATGTTTTAAAGGAGTCTTAATTGGAAATCAAAAAAAATGGTTCATGCTATTAGAGTGGATTCTGTCTTGCTTCTCGTTATTGATAAAGTCAAAAGAAGTCCAGTTATTGCCTTCAATTAGGATAGTACCCTATGTTACAGGCTATGTGGATGTACCAGTGATACGTGAAATGCATTTACCTTCTGTTCACATGAACCAAAATGAAAATGCCCAGCAACTCCACAGAATCAGATTGTAGGCAAATGATACAGTGCCCTTTTTCATTCTGCACTAGCGTCTGGCTTGTAACCAGTCTTTCTCATTTTACCAGGAGCAGGACAGAGAACGAGAGCAAAGTAGAGCAGTTTGAGGGCAATGGAGGAGTGCACACAAAGGCATTTGCAGACAGATGTTTTCTTTTGTAATTTGCTTAGTGAGGTGGAAGCATCTGCTGCTACTCTAAGCTCCGCCCATGTCCTCTCCCCTTTTGGAAGAGCAGGTCTATTTCACAGCAAAGCCACAGCTTCCAGGGCTTGTAGGGGTGTCCATTCTGGGAAGTTTCCACTCCTCCACTGTAACTGTGTAGGACTGGGACCAAAACCATTTTCACTGTAAGTCAAGGCTCCAAAATAAACCTTCTAAATATTAACTTTGTCAAGATGAGACAGATCTGAGAAAGCACGCAACTTGGCATTAAATTCACGCTCTTGTCCTTAATACAGCAAATATTTTTGTGACTGTGGGTTACACAGTGAGTAAGGGTCAGACCAGTATATGGCATGTACTTTATTCTCAGTGTTCAGAAACAGCAGATCGCATAATGACTTTTCAGTATTAGATAACTTCTTTATGGTCAGATTTTGAGCCAATTAAATGCAATAGTAACCCTTAGAGCTTGACTTTTCTCAGCATCTGGATGATGCTGCAAACTACTGGAAAATTCTGTGCTCTTTTATCATATTTTTCAATGACTCAGTATGCTACAGGAACATAGTACCTGATGATGCAGCTTAGTATTCACAGTGATACTTCACTGAAGCACAACAAATCGCAGTGAAGCATTGAAAACATTTTTCACCGTGTACTTTGTTTTGTGTTTTAACCCTATGGAACTATAAAAAGAAAAAGTATCCAATAAGCCAGTGGGTGTCACTATTGTGTTAAACAAACACTGAACAAGAGATAATTTGGCACTGAAACTCCAAGAAACACTGTTAATGGTTGAAAGCAGAGAGATGCAAATAGAGCATTTTAGACCACAAATAATTAACATCAGATTAGCTAATAAAATAATATTAACTTTTGCTCTGATTAATTTTATTGAAACAAGTCACTGATTGGCAATTTTTGGTTGATTCAAATCTATGAAAAAGAATGATTTTGTAGAGTTTTGTCTTGCCTGATGTGGAAAAGCTTGCCAATCTGCAGTAACTGAGAAAACCACTATTTTTAGTATGGTGGGACAGGGGGACCAAAAATATTAAGGAAAGAAAGGTGCTCAAGAACAAAAGGAGGCATAATTTAACAAGATCAAAACTTCTGAAAAATCTGGAAACATGTCTAATATGAAAAATGCTAATTTACAGATGCTGTAGCTGGACACTGTATATGAAGAACAGCCTCAAAGAGACCTTACAGTGAGGAGAACGGAGTGATCCTGTTCCTATTCCACATTCTGGTAAGCAGGCTCCATTCCCTACCAGTTCAAATCCTAAATTCTGGAGCCAGAGAACTGCCTACT